GTCACTGCTTAGGGGTTCCTGAGTATCTGTTGGATAGTTTGGAAATGAATAGGGTGATAGTCACACAACATGATGAATGTAATCAATGCCATTGAATTATACATATAAAAAGGTTAGACTGATAAATGTTTTGTTGTATCTGTTTTGTCACAATAAAAATAAAGTGAGTGATGAATGTAAAAAAAAAAAAAAAAGGGTGGGGGGAATTACTGGAGTCCTGGTGTGGCACTGGGTGTTAATACACTGGACTGTAAGGTCGGTTTGAACTGCAAGGTTTGCTGTTCAAGTTCACCAGCTGCTCCTCAGAAATCCTATACAGGGTCACTATGAGCTGAATCCAATTCAGCAGCATTTAACAACAACAACTTAGCATCTACATGTTTTCATCGTTAATTTAGTGTTTAAAACTGTGATGTAATTGATTTTCTTGTTCAGATAGATTTTTTCAAGTAATAGGATTCCATCTGTAGATCAATTGTTATTATTGTTAAGTGCTGTCAACTTGATTGGACTCATAGCGATATGAGTAGCAGCTGGTGGGCCTGAACCTCCAACCTTGTGTTTATAGTCAAGTGCTTTTTCTACAGCGCCACACTAGGAGTCCATAGGTTGATTACTTCTTAGAAATGATGAATAGTTATTGTCATTCATTAAATTCAGCATAATTGTAATCTTGCATAATTTCTACTATGATTGTACATACTTAATCTTCACAAAATGTTCATATTGCAAAGGCACTGACATTTTTCATGTGTTTTTAAAGGTCTTCTGGGGTCAAGAACATTTGAATTGTTTAGTTCTTCTGCATGAGTTACTCAATGGATACCTTAGTGAGGAGAGAAATTTTGAAGTGCAAGTGTCCGAAGCAGTGTCTCAAATGCCATCATCTATGGAAAATAAGCAAAATAAGAGTGAACAAAGTTCAGACGATCTACGGACCGGTCTGTTTCAGTATATACAAGATGCTGGTAAGGAGCAACAGCTTCAGGTTAAGTGTGTGTGTACTTAATGTATATGACTGAACAATAACATCTATATCACTTGAAAAGTACATTGTTAAAACTTGCAGTACAAAATAGTGCACTACCTTTCAATGTCTCATAAGGTAAAATTCTTTGTTTCTCAAACTGCATAAAAATGATCAACTACCTTTTATATCATTTTCTATTATCTTCATAATGTCTCCTTGACTTAATGAATTAATAGAGTTTCCCCTTTAAGAGCATATAATTATTATTATGTTTTCATTTGACAGAACCTTTGAAGCTGCCTGATATCTATGAAGTGTTGTTTTACAATGAAACTGAAGATAGTCCAGGGATGATGCTGTGGAGATACCCAGAACCTAGAGTGCTCACCCTTGTACGAATAACTCCTGTGCCCTTCAACACCACAGAGGATCCAGATATTAGCACAGCAGACCTTGGTGATGTGCTGCAGGTATGTAATGACTATTCATTTTAAGTTAACACCGTGTGGAAAAGTGCAATAGGGAAAAATGTTTGGATCCTATCTATTTCTTCCATATAGATAATACACAAAAATACATATACACACATACAAAAAGACTTCAAAAAGAATGTTTTAAATACAGATATAATATAATTAAAGTTCATGATACATGGGAATTTCAAGAGTTCTTCGTTCTACTTTTAGGACTATTAAAGATTGGTTACGTGATCTCGAACTCTAGAGGGCCAGGCAGGTGTCATTCATTCACTGTGTATTTACTGAGTGCCTACCATGTGCTCACACTCTTCAGAGCTCTAGAACTGCTCTAGGAAATGAAATATGCCCATTGAAGGCCCCAACTGGATGGCTGTCATTTTAAATTTCATTTCCAGAGCTAAAAATGGGACTTTTGAAGTAGGCTGATAGGAAAATCATCTAATCAGTTATCATATTTCCTGTGAATTTGTGAAAATTTGTTGCTTGTCATTTCCCAGTAATAGTATTTATAACTCTTATAACTAGTCAAGGATCCCTGATGTATCACTGCAGGATAAGCACTGGACTGCCAACCACGAGGTCAGTGGCTCAGTGTCTTCTTGGAAACCTTATACAGGGTCACTATAAATTGGAACCAACTCAGTAGCACTTAGCAACAACAACAATATTGCTATTCATAATTCTCTTAGGCATTTTCATTTATTTACTTACGATCTTTCTGTAACATTAGATAATAAGCTCCCTGTATGTCTTAATCGGAGTCCTGGTATGGTGCTGTAGGTTAATGCGCCAGACTGAAAAGCCATTTGAACTGCAAGGTCAGTGGTTCAAGCTCACCTGTCACTCCTCAGGAACCCTATAGAGGGTCGTTGTGGGTCGGAACCAACTCGAAGGCACTTAACAACAACAATGTCTTAATCACACTCAACTTCTGGAACAATCCAAAGATTAACTTCCTCAGAAGCAACGCTGCTTAAAAATAAACAAAGAGGCCAGTCTATTACATGGCTCCAGGAGTGACTTCAGTCCCAGACTGAAAAGTCATCTAGGGCGAGAGTCTCCGGGATTCTTCCAGGCTTTCAGTCCAGTAAGTTTGGTCTTTTTTTGTTTTGTTTTGAGTTTGTTTCTACCTATTTATCCCTTTGTAATTGGAACCTTCTATTGTGTTCTTAGTCAAAGCAGTCAGTAGTGGTAACCAGGCATCCTCTGGTTGTTTTGGTCTCAGGCTAGAGGAGCTGGGCTTCATAGGAGCCATTGGTCCTATGGACTAGTTGTTTCCTCAAGTCTTTGTTTTCCTTCACTATCCTTTGCTCCACTTGGAGTGTATCATAGACATCTACTTGCAAGCTTTTAAGACCTCATCAGACTAGGATGTAGAACATTATCTTTGTAAGATGTACCCCAAGAGTGTAGTCCTGATCCTTCAAACCCAGTCACTCAGTCCCACAAGGTATTTGCATAATTATCTATTCAACTCTCCCATCTGCTCCTAAGATGCCCTATACAGGGTTGCTATGAATCAGAACCAACTCAACAGCACTTTACAACAACATGTGCTTTATTATATCCATGTCTATGAAAATATATAGTGCATAAAAATATGGATATACAAATGCCCACAACTGTTCCTATATGTGCACACCTGTGTACTCCCTATGCCTTCCCATGCCTGTATAGCATACACATCTATCAATATATTTGGTCAAATATTCATCTTTGGAATTCATACCAATGAAATGTATCATCATTTTAGCAAGTGAACCAGAGTCTGCAGAACAACCCACCTTGGCAAGATATCAACAGTCTCTACTTCGATTCTTACTCCTCAGATTTGTTCCTCCTCCTAGCAAGGTCATGACCATGATTCTTTTGCCAGTATCCTTGCATTTAATCTGTGAATCCTGCTGTCTTGTTACTGTGTGCCATTGAGTCGGTTCTAACTCATAGCAACCCTGTATGGAGTTTCTGGGAATCTCTACAGGAGCAGAAAGCGTCATTTTCTTCCTGTGCAGTGGCTGGTGGATTTGAACCGTCGACCATCCGGTTAATAGCTCAATACATAACTTGCTATGCCACCAAGGCTCCACTGTCTTATTAGCCTTGCCTAAATTAAAATATAGGAGCTCTGGTAGTGTAGTGGTTACGAATCGGGCTGCGAGCCTCCAGGTCAGCAGTTCAAAACTACCAGCTGTTCCATGGGAGAAAGATGAGGTTTTCTGCTCCCGTAAAGATTTATAGCCTCGGAAACCCTGTACAGGGTCGCTATGAGTCGGAACCGACTCCACGGCACATTACAACAATAACAACAAATTAAAATATATCACTTAATGTCAGTTTCTTCTTCCTATAAGGACTTATTTCCAACTTATTTTGAGGTTCAGCTTTATAACTTACTCTTCATATTTTATTAACACAAGTCTGAAAATAGATTAGCAGTTGTATGATTGTGTCAGTCATATTAGTTAGACATCCAAGAAAGTAAGTACATTTACTAGTGACATGCTCATCTTGTCATTGCCTGTAGAAAGACCTTCTCACTGACATTAGTGGTTTTGAGGACCAACTAGAGCCAGAAAGCTTTGGGTCAGTCTTTTGACTCTGCTACTTGCAAAATATGTAACTGTAGACAATAATTTAATCTCTCAACCCTGGATTTTTTTGTGTTGTTGTTGTTTTTAATCAGTAAAAAGATGTCACTAATAGTATGTGATGATTATAAGGATTTTAATATTTGCAAAACACATGAGACAGCGTATGATCATAGCAAGCTTTATATAAATATGAGATAATTTCATTATCTTTTCATGCCATTTTACCACAAGCTTTTTGAGGTAAAACATGGCTGGACCTCCCTGACACCAAGCCTCTGCATGCAGAAACCTGCCAGACTTTCTTCATTCATTGTTTTTGAGGCCCCTTCATATTAGTACTGCGTTATTATTACAACTTTGTTTAAATTCATTCCGTTGAGCAGATGCGCAGGCTAGACCAGAGAGATCTGATGACTCAGCAGACCAACTGGAGTGGTCCAGGATGTGGAATGATTCCACATGTCCACACTGTGAACTTGGCATGCAAGCAAAACAATGAATGAAAGAACTCTGGTAGGTTTCAGCAAGCAGAGGCTTAGTGTCAGGGAGGTCCAGCCATGTTTTAGATCTTGTTGGAGAGATAAGGAACTAAGATGTGGGAGAGTTCAAAGACAAGCCTCCTGGCCTAGAAGACCAAGTTGTGGCTACCGGAAGTTGAGACAGAGAGCTTCATCCCTGTGGTGAGAACACCCAAGTGGGATGGAAGGACAGAGCAGGACTGGCTGCAAGGCTGACCTGATGACACACTGGTAAGCTCCTCCAAGTTAAAACCTCATCAAATAATCCCCCAACTACAAGTAGAATTGGTCCCAAGGCTTGGTGTGGGCCTCATCTGTACAAACAGTTCACGGAGTTGCAACCTTAGAACAATTCAAGCCATTAACACTCTTTGGAGTCTCTGTTCAGAGCAGAAACTATGCAGCATGACTCACAGGCGTGATTCACTATGATAGCATTTTCCCTGTGCTTGCTCCTGGGTATTCTGATATAGATAAGACACTCTCCAGTCCGGTGGGGAAGTTGTATGATTCTTTGAGGTAGAAGAGTCTTCCTAATGTTGCTTTTCAAGGAGGGCCTCCATTGTCAGTCATTCTCATGCTGTGTTTATTTGCTTTTCTCTAAGTCTGTACTGGAGTCACAACTAAATGGACAACTCATTCTGAATTGCAGTGAACGTGGGAACATTCCTTCACTCGCCTCTTCCCTCTCATGCAAATGCTGGACCACTAAAAAATTACTAACCCACTGCCATCTAGTCAATTGTGACTTACAGTGACCTGTGCAGGGTATCTAAGGCTGTAAATCTTAATCTCTCCAACTAACCTTATCCTTCTAAAGTCTTAAAGGAACAGGTAGGTTGTATCATTTGCCTAACAAAAGCCTTCAGTGACTATGTCCTCTCCTAGACAGACCTAAGAGCCCTACATAGCCTGCCCCTAACCCCTCACAATGTGATCTACACTCTAGTCAAACTGGCCTACTGACCCTTCCACAGCCCAGCGTCTGTACACTTCCCTCTTCATTTGAATCCCTTTCTTCTCTGCCTGTTGAAATCCTGCCCACACTTCCAGAACAGCTAAAAAGCCATAGGTGAGTGATCTTCAAAAAGTTCATGGAAAAATGGAATGGATAGAGAATGGGATTTTTTCCATGGACTTTTTGAAATGCCCTCATAATACGGTGAAGCCTTTCCTGGATGCCATTTCAAACACAATCCCACCCTCCTCTGAAGGCCTAAGACACCCAATGGCACCACTTTTATGCAGTTTCTTACCATATTCCTCCTATTTTAATTCCATGTGCATATCTTGACTCCAACTGAGACTGTCAGTCTACAGAGGATGTGATCATGCCTGATTTCTCAGTGGGTTCCTTCCATTAGCCAATGCCATGGAGAGGTTCAGTCAACATACTGACTGAGTGAATGGAAACATCCATGTTCCTATTTTATGTTGTTCAAGTGTATTGCATTAATTGTCATGGTTTTGTGGGTCTATTGAATGAGCTTTGGTTTTAAAGGCAGAAAGCCATCAGGGTGTGTTGCACTGTGCTTCCATTTCATGCTTGCTGGAGGCACCATCTCCTGTCATACTACGCAGGTTCTTGGTGAGATCAGGCACTGCTCTGCCACGACAACTGTCCCCCAGACAGACAGAGGCTAGCTCTTAAATACAGAGGTACATTCATCTCCTCGGTTTCAGTCCTAAAGAGAGAATTCAATTTGGATGACTTTTTTCCTTCAGGGCCACTGAGCTTTATAAGAAAACTGACTTTAAAAAATGCAAACAAAAAAAAAACTTTTTATTGTGATTTGGGTGAAATTTTATAGAACAAATTGGTTTTCTAGTCAACGATTTCTACACATTTTGTTTTGTGACAAATGAGTCCAGTTATACGGCC